AGAACGATAGGTCTTATTTTCACATCCATTCTATTAGTCTATGTCTTTTTATTGGGAGTTGAGTCCATGGATGTTGAGAGATATTAATAATCAGTGGTTATTAATTCCTGTTGTTTTGATGTTGGTGGAGGTAAACTGTGTGTGTTTCCTTTTGGTTTTGTTAATGTAGAGTTATCTATTTATTTATTTGGGGTTTTTTTGGGTGTAATTAGCCTCCTTGGGCTATAATTTGTTTTGTTTTTTTTTTCCTAGTATTTTTGGTAGGACTGGATTTGTGGATAGGTACTATTTAAATTTGTTTCTGTCACAGAATATTTTGTTTTCTCCCTCTATGCTAGTTAAAAGTTTTGCTGAGTATGATAGTTGGAGCTGAAATCTGTGATCTCTTAATGTCTGTAAGATCTGCCCAGGCCCTTCTGGCTTTTAGAGTTTCTGGTGAGAAGTCAGGTGTAATTCTGATAGGTTTGCCTTTTCATGTGACTTGGCCTTTTTCCCTTGCAGCTTTTAACATTCTTTGCTTTCTAAATCTATTTATAGTTATTCTGAAGAGAGTCTGTGTTGATTTTTATAGTGAATGGGTTAATTTACATCTCTGCCAAGAATACATCAACATTTCTTCTCACTTCATCTTCAACAGCATTTACTGTTTTTTTTTTCTGTGTTTTATATACAGGCTTGTATTGTGCACTGTTGTATCAATGTCTTTATAGAACAGTGGAGGTAAGAAAAAGGGATGAAACTACTATACTGAGCAAATGACATAAACTCTTAACCTCAGAAATAGCAAGAGGAAAATGTAGAAAAACATTACAAGATCCTGGCATAGGTAATGATTTTCTGAAAAGGACTGTAATTGCTTATAAAATAAGATCAAAAGTTTACATATTAGACCTTCTGATAATAAAAGGCTGTATAAAGCCAAAACTAAAGGATGCTACTGATTGAGTAAAGAGAAAGTCCACAGAATAGGATGTATTTTTCAACTATGAATTCCTGGAAAATATAAAAAATAAACCCTAAAAATATATGAAAAAAAAAACCAATCAGAAAATGGAACGTGGTAATGAAAGGGGGTTTCCAAAAGAAGAAATGAAGAAATAAAAATGGCAATTAAAAAGTGTTCCATGTCCTTGACCAACAAAGAAATGTAAACTTGATATTTTATCTTACCTCAGTCATAGTAGCTATTATCAAGAAAAGAAATGACAAAAAAAATGATGTCAAGGATGTGGGTGTGGAATAGCTGAAGTCTTTATGTAAATTACATTAAATAAAAACTTTTGGAAAAAATGTGAGTGGGTTTCCTAGAAAGCTAATAATATAAATATATGACCTGACTAAGCAATTCCTTTGTATACTCCCACAGAGATACTGGCACCCCAATAATTGTCAAATTATTTAAAAGATGGAAATGGAATCACTTTAGATGTTTATCATCTGAGAGTGGAGAAAGAAAATATGATACATATTCACAATGGTATCGTATTCAGGCATACAGAAACACACAAAAAATAAATTTGCATGAAATGGGCACATTTGGAAGATACTGTACTATAAAAGGTAACTTAGAAAGTCAAACATCACATGTTTTCTCTTACAGATGGTTCTTAACTTCAAGTGTTTAGATTCATGTGTTTAAATTGGATACAGTTCCTGTCAGGAGGCTAGGAAGGAGCCATGAATATAAAGCCTCCTGTAATCCTTAAAACAAAATAAAAGGAAAGAAAAGAAAAAAAAAGGAAAGAAAAAGAAGAAAAGAAAAGCTCTTGCTACTGCTTTTCACTTCGCTTTTAGCTTCCCATCATAACTGAGCAATAAAACTCTATTGTTAAAAATATCTTAAGCTATCCTATATTTTACGGCTATTATCCACTTATAAGTGAGTGTATATCATGCGTGTCTTTCTTTCTTTTTTTCTTGAATTTTATTTTTTTCTTATCAGTTACATTTTATTAACTCTGTATCCCAGCCGTGTCCCGATCCCTCATTCCCTCCCAGGCCCTCCCTCCCTCCCTCATCTCCACCGTGCCCCTTGCCAAGTCCACTGATAGGGGGGACCTCCTCCCCATTCATCTGATCCTGTTTTATCAGCTATCTTCAGGACTGGCTGCAAAGCTCTCCTCTGTGGTCTAACAGGACTGCTCCTCCCTTGGGGGGTGGGGAGGCCAAAGAGCCAGTCATTGAGTTCCTGTTAGAAATAGTCCTTGTTCCCCTCACCAACAATGGAATACTACTCAGCAATCAAAAAGGAGGAAATCATGAAATTTTCAGGCAAATGGTGGGATCTAGAAAAGATCATCCTGAGTGAAATATCCCAGAAGGAGAAAGACAAACACGGTATATACTCACTTATATAGACCTATAAGATATGATAAACATAATGAAATCTATACACCTAAAAAAGATATTCAAGAGAGCAGACATGGGGTAAGATTATCAATCCTCGTTTAAAAAGACAGATGGGATGCGCATTGAACATATGACAGGAGTCTACTGAGCGCATTTGAAAGACTCTAACTAGCAGTGTTTTCAAAGCAAAGACTCATGACCAAACCTTTGGCAGAGTACAGGGAATCATAAGAAAGAAGGGGAGTTAGTCTGATGAGGAAAGGATAGGAGCTCCACAAGGACCAAAGATATCTGGGCACAGGGTCTTTTCTGAGACTGACATGCAACCAAGGACCATGTATGAATGTAACCTAGAACCTCTGCTCAGATGTAGCCTGTGGTAGCTCAGTAACCAATTGGCTTCCCATGGTGTCTTTCTTTTTTTGTGTTATCTCACTCAGGATTATCTTTTCTACTTCCATCCATTTGCCTGCAAATTTCATGATTTTCTTGTTTCTAATTGGTCATTGTTTTCTCACAGCAATCAAAAGCAAATTCATACATCCTCAAAAACATGAATAATGAAATAGCACAGTCCTCTTGTTCATGTTGATGAGTCTTTAGCTGCCAAGAGCTCTGCATTTCAGCAGTCACTCATCTTGGAAGTGCCAAGTACATGCTACCTCTAAATTGTAAACCAGCTGTCCATATGTGAGGCTCCCTTCTTTCACAGTTACATCCTCCAAAGTTTTCTAATAATTGCCTATTAAAATGACAACAACCATGTGCACAGATTCTTTTCAGTTTCCTAGCACAAACTTTGTTTAGGTTGAGATTATAAAAGGAAGCTTTTATATAGTACTTGAACTGCAAAATCATCCAAATCTTCTAAATTAATTGTCCATACAAAATGTTATTGTAAAAATCTCTGACTTTAAAGACGTTTGTTGCACACCAACCTTGAAATAAACTAAAATTGAGTGTCTGCTGTTCCCTACAAATAGAAAACTTATCCAGAAAATTTATACAAAAATAAATTTGCATTTATAATTGTGAAAGACCTCCTTTTTGCTCTGATGTAGTCTCATTCTGTAGCTCAGACTTGCCTAGAATTACCAGTATAACCTAGAGTAATTTCAAACTTGTGGTAAGGTGACACAGATGGAGTTCCTTATCACCTCTTCTTTAATGTTAGGATTAAAGTTTTAGGATTATCATACCTAGCATAAGATGATATTTCTTCTCCTCCTTCCCCTTCCCATCTTTTTCTTTCCTCTTCTTCCAATTTATTTACTTTGTATCCAAGTTGTAACACCCTCCCTCCCTCTTTGTTCCCTACCCCTCTTCCCTAGTCCACTGATAGGGGAAGTCCTCCTCCCTACTATCTGACTCTAGCCTATCAGATCCCATCAGGACTACCTGGATCCTCTTCCTCTGTGGGCTAAGTTGCCCCACCAGGGAGAAGCGAACAAGGAGCAGGCAACCGAGAAGCATGGTATATACTATATTACTATTTAAATTCCAATAAACCGTACCAAAAATGAAAAAAAAAAGTTTGAGTTTGGATTCCTTCTGTGTTTCTTTGGGTCTTGTTTCTTGTGCTGTACTGTGCTTGACCATGCCCCAATCCTTTTGCTCACAGGGAGAGTCGGTTCAGCCTTCCTGACTCTGACCCAAGATTGGATTGCTTTTCTGCGGTTTGCAGTTTGTCTGGGCCAAGTGCAAACCTGGTTGGGCGGTTGTTCACCAGATTAAGCCAAGCCTCCGACTTGGGGTCCAGGGTCCCATCCAGTCTTGTGTTTTGCATGATTCTGAGGCAGTGGTTACCAGAGGCCTGACCTCTCCCTTCTGGTTGCTACTCTGTGCCGGCTGCTGGCCTTACGTTTCACTAGGCTCTGGGCAAGATACAGCAAAGTCTGGAGCACAGTTGGCTCATGCTGAATTCTACTTTGGGCTTTGACCCCATGGAACGGTGCGGTGCTTGGCAGAGCCCAGCTAATGTTTGTGTAAAGCAGAAGTTTTTCTTTTCTTAGAGAGACAGAGCTTTGAAGCTGTTTTGTTTCCAGGGAGGGTTTATGCCTCTACCCAGGACTTTTCTCAGGTCAGTTTTGATTCTGTGCTTAATGTATGGAATGCCATATGTAGTAGGTGGTTTTTTCCTCCTGTACTTAAGCTCTCTGAATAACAACTCATGAGACTCATTAAATATTTTTTAAATATCTAGGTTTTACAGTTAGAGTTTTCTTTGACTAAAACATAACTTAAAATAACCCATTTCTTCTAATCTACATTCTATCATGTGGCTGGTTACCTGGGCTAGGCAACACGCGTCCATCTTCCTCACGTGTTGCCGGCTAAATCAATCACAAAGTGGCATTTTTAAAGTGTAGAAAATACTATATATATGTTTATAAATATCTTTCCTATTTCTTGGACAATATTTTTCTGAACATGACTGGTACTGCATTGATAGCTATAAATTAATAAAGCTTAAAATTACTACAATCCTGTATTAGAAAAATAGTGTTAGATATTATTAGGAAAGCAATTTTAATTGGAGGAGTGAAAAGTATAGTTTAATAAACTGTTAGGAAAAAAAACAAATGAATATATTCATTTAAGTAGGCCATTGAAATCTATTTTATTATTTGAATTGGTCTTCAGTGTGCCCCTCATTCACAGGCCACATTTTTACTTGTGAAAGATACCACCTTCCTTGCCATGTCCATAAAGGCTTGCTTGACCTGCTGGTTCCTCAGACTATAAATGAAGGGGTTTAGCATGGGGGCTACTGAGGTATTTAACACAGCAACTCCCTTGGTCAATGATGCTCTATCTGCTGCTGAGGGTTTAATGTACATAAAAATGCAGCTGCCATAAGAGATGGAGATGACAATCATGTGGGAAGAACACGTGGAAAAGGCCTTTGTCCTCTGATTAGCAGAAGGAATCTTCACAATTGTTCTGACGATATATGTGTAGGACAGAAATATTAACACTAAAGTGAACATTAGGGTAAAGACAGCACAGAAAAACCCCATTTTCTCCAGGAACTTTGTATCTGAACAGGAAAGTTGAAGCAGGGGAAAGTAATCACAGGTATAGTGGTCAATGATGTTGGACCCACAGTAATCAAGCTTTAGGAGCAACATGAGTGCAGGGAAGATGATCAGGAAAGAAACCAGCCAGGAGGCAAAGACAAGCATTGTGCAGACCTTCTGACTCATGATGGTCAGGTAATGCAGGGGCTTGCAGATGGCAATGTAGCGATCATAGGACATGGCAGCTAGAAGGTAAAACTCAGTGACTCCCAAAAGGATGAAAAAGAATAACTGAGCTATACAGTTGTTGAAGGAAATGGTTTTATCTCCTGAGATTATGGTGCCCAAGAACTTGGGTATAGTGACAGTTGTGAAGGATATTTCTAAAACAGAGAAATTCCTGAGGAAGAAATACATGGGAGTCTGGAGGTGAGAATCCAGCAAGGTGAGAGTGATGATAGTCAGATTCCCTGTGATGCTGAGAGGGTAGGTAACGAAGAGAAAGATGAAGATCACAACCTGGAGCTGAGGGTCATCTGACAGTCCCAGAAGAATAAATGCTGTGGTTTCTGTATGGTTTCTCATTATGCAGTTACTTTTTTTTTTACCTTCTGCCAAATCTAAATGCAAGACCAAAAGAATCAAGTAGAACTGAGAATTATTGAAAGTCAAAACCAGGAGCTGTCATTTTTTGTAGTATGATGTTTCCACCTCTAAGAGAAATTTAAAGCCATTCACTATTAATTCTTTAATTACCTTTCTTTGTAGAAAGAGCAACTCCACATTCAAGGCGGTTTGAAAACAGTTTGTTATCAAAACTGTAATGCAATAGGCTCTCTTCTTAGTGAGCGTGTTAATTATAAAACTATTCAGATGGGGTGTGGAGATAAAAGTACTCTAAGACATTTTAGTAGCGATGTTGTTTCAGTACTAGTATGAGAATAGAATGGAGGTTGCCCAAATAAGGACAAAGGACTTGGCGTATCATCTAGTGGCCCTGCCCAAGGTATATATCCAACTGACAGTACCAGAAAGAGGTTTTTACTTTTCACGTAAACTGCTATGATACTGCAACTGATGTAAATCCAGGAACTATTAAGGATGGCTCATATTGAATCTGGATCACTTACTGGCCAGAAAATCAGTTAACCTTCTTTGTTCCATTTCCTCATCTTCCTGAAGACAAGTCAATGTCAAAAGAACGGTTTTAAGTTATATGTGTTAAAATATGTTAAACTTTTAAAAATTGTGTATACATGTTCATGATTTTGATTACATGTGGCTCAGTGTAATGAAAACAAAATCACATTTTTCTCATTTCTTTATTAATTTCTATGACATTAGAAGTAATACCTGCTGTTCATACACCTAAAACCTCGTATTTGCTTGTGTCAATCTATTTCACTTAGATTTGCTGTTATTTCACATCGACTCCTACATTAGTTGATACATTTACAAAAGGATAAATTTTCATTATCAAAACTATTTTAATATGTGTTGTGCTTAGCATAATTTCATCTTAACAGAAGCATTTGCGAAGTTAATATTGTCTTTTATTTAATCATTTGTTGGCATCATCCCCTTGTTTATGCCGTGCTGTGAAGCATGTGTATTGTTTAGGTTTTTGTCTTAGCGTTATAACGTGAGTTTTCTGTTATTTACTTTATGTAATATGCTTAAGCACTTGTTCCAAAATCTCTATTTTGAAAAATTTTCAAATGAAATATATGTAAGAGAATCTACAATATACATACAGACAGGCATAGTTAAATGAACTGTGTAATAATAATTTGAATTACTTTACTGCTTTTTAACGAGTCTGAGTTTGGTTTTGATCAAAATTATGTTATTTAATAGGACTCTAGCTCAAAAAATACCTTATTATCAAATAGATAAGATTTAATTGTAATCTCTAGCTGAAGTTCTTACAGCAAAATACTAATATTAAGAATCATATTTAAAAATAGACACTCAAGTGGCTTCATATATATATAGTATATATATATACTATATATATATATAGTATACTTCATGCAAGTCCTTTGAATGATCTTCTGTGGCATAGCATATTTTCAATACAAAATAAATCCTTAATTGGGCACTGTCCACACGTGAGTCTATGAGGTTTGTTATGGAACTGGGAGAGCTGACTTTTAAATAATGATTTTTAATCTATGACTTTCACATATGCTTTACCTCTTGTAAGTCTTACTAAACTTAGTGTATTTTATTCTTTAAATATAAATTTAAATTTTTAAATAATAGAATGTGAAGAGTATTAGAAGTATTTCTAAAATAATCATAATACAGAAATTTCTCATTCATTGATTGAGTTATTGTTCCTAAAACTGTAAGAGTACTGTAAGAGTAACATGCTGACATTTGAAAAGACTTAGAAACTTGTTTTTCTCCCACTGTATGTCATAATTCCAAAATGTATCATTGTTGATGAATAAATGTACTTTTTAGAATTAAGAATATGTAAATGTACATTAGATTCATTCTATTTTGGGTATGAAAATCTATCAATATGTTGCATTTTACCCTCTTTTAAAGCCTGGACTCTTCTTTTTTCATCAATTTCCATTATTCTTAGATTTTGCCTTTTCATGGCGTCCTTGATTTCTTGGATGTTTTGTGTTTGGGACTTTTCCGATTTTACTTTTTCTCTGAGAGGAAGTATCAGTATCTGCAAGTGTATCTTCAGCACCGAGAGTCTCTCTTCCGTCTCTTGTATTCTCTTGTTGATGTTTACCTTTGTGGTTCCTGCTCTTTTCTCTAAGTTCTCCAGCTCCAGGTAAAGTTATGTCTACTTTTCTTCTATGTACTTTAATTTGAACATTTACATGTAGCAATGTAATTACTCACTTTTTCCTATGGATCAGAGCTGGGTAGAAGTACAGGAAGAGTTGTAAAGAAATGTCTTAGCAGGTATTGAGAAATGGGAACATTCCTCCCCTCCATTAACATTTCTGTACAGTCTTCAAAGATTAAAAAAGAACAAGCTTAAGGAAAAGACAATGTGGTTTGTTTTAAGTCTAAGATTGTTTTAATATATTTTAAGTAAAAAAACATAAAAGCTCAATGGATTATATTAATCAACTAAATGGGTTTGATACAAATGTATAAAAGTCATGGATTTATAGACTATTAATTTCAAGAATGTATTTCATTTGAGAATAAAAACCATGTCCACGTATTTAACTCATCTCTTTATTCTTTATCTCAGAATATTAAATGAGTTAGTTTATTTATTTAAAGATTTATTTATTTATAATTTTTTATATGAGTACTCTGTCTGCATGTGCGCCTGCATGCCAGAGAGGGCACCAGATCTCGTTATAGAAGGTTGTGAGCCACCATGAGGCTGCTGGGAATTGAACTTCTGGAAGAACACCCAGTGCTCTTACCCACAGAGCCATCTCTCCAGCCTAGAAGTTAGACTGTTACCATTTCCTTTCCTTCCACCCATTTCATCAATTTACTTCATACTTGCCTTCTAAAGAGTCTGAGATGAATTACTTAAACAATTCAAAATAAAAATTAACAGTGATATATTTCTTCAGTATGATTACTGAATTAATCTTCCAGTTTTCATTATGTCTCAAAAATAGTCTCAAATCATGCCCTTCCTAGTATCTACAATAAAATAAATAACAACAATGACTCTTGCAATAAACTAAATAAAGTATGGGAAATTTATATAATACTCATGGGGTAAACTATATTGAAGGCTTTATTAGACTTAAGGGTTAAAGGATAGATACCCTTTTGAGAGACACATTGGGGAATTTGACTAGTTGATTTTACTTTACGTAAGGGTGTTTGAATATTATTAGTAATATTGCATGATGCCCTGCATGATTATTTTCCTCCATGATACATTGACTTTGAAAGACTATATTTTTTTCTCAAATTTTTCTACATGTATCCGTTTTTTTCTTCAGTCAAGCTCATTAGATAGAAATTATTAGAAAAATTACAGAGAACACATCTTCAAACATATTTTATTGATCACATTGTCTTCATTCTTTAAAAATTTAAATTTTAAGTAGTTCAAATTTTGGTGAATGGAGGCTAGGAAAGAATAATTATTTAATTCAAGGTGTGAATAATATCTAGCTCAGCTTCAAATTTCAAATTGGAAAAAAACATACTTTAAATACATGAAGTTGAATAAGTAGGGAGATAGAGAGGACTTGGGATGAGCAGGGAGAGGGGAAGAATATGATAAAAAATATTATTAAGAAAAGATTTAAATACCTAAATAAATAAACAATAAAAATATTCTTATATGAATATACTCACACTACAGGGTCTGGATCATGCCACAAGTATTCTTTTGAGAATACTTTATTTAGAGTTAATTCTAAGTTAATCAGAACTTACTGATTAACTAGACTTATTTTTACTAAATTATCTTTTTATTGTTTTCACAGCTATTTATGTGATTCTTTCCAGGAAAATACCAATAGAGTGCATAAATTCATTTCAATAATAATGGACAGGCTCAATTTTCAGCATTAATAGTTGTATATATATATATATATATATATATATATATATATATATATATATATGATAACTAAAGGAAAGAAAGACTATCAAGTCACATTTAGTAATTTCATAAATACTAACACATCTATAAGTGTTTTTGAAAATAAAATATAAACTCTGATCCATTATGAATAATGCTAATAGAGATGCAAACAGTGACTTGAAAGGATAAATTTCACAGAAATGTTAGAAAAGTAATAAATAATACTTCATGGAGATATATTTAAGTTACATACCAATAAACTGTAGACTCCCTTATGTATACTCCATTTAAATTAAAATGAACAAATTCTCAGTCTTGACAGCATATTACCTGTGATTTCCACACAGCGTCTCAGAACTCTGAGACGGATGGCTGCAACATCCACTGCTATTTCTTTAAAAATTCCTTTCCCTAGGTACCAGTTTGGGATTCACTGTAAATATTTTCATCTATGTTTTCTCATTTTATCCAAAATTGGTTTATTCCTTTGAGTGCCAAGAAACAAGAAAGAGTGAAGGTAGAAATAGAAACAGTTTTAGAAGTTATTTTAAAATAATCATGGTTGTTAATATATTTTATATTGCATGGAGTACTTAAAGTTTTATCTATTTGCTCTGTAATTGGCTCAAGGGATCAATTCAGTGAATCAAAATTGCCAGCACAGGAATGTAGACAAAACACAAGGGAATATCAAACATAATGCATTAGTATCAGAACTGCAAAAAGAAGCTTGGGGAACAGTGGCCAGTGAAACAGAGTAAGGACACTCATAAAAAAGAAAATCAGTCCTGATGAGACCTAATAGGCTAAGGTCAGATAGAAGGGGAGAGGAACCTCCCCTATCAGTGGACTGGGGAAGGGGCATGAGAGGAGAAGAGGGAAGGAGGGCAGGATTTGGAGGGCATGAGAGAGGGACCTACAGCTGGGATACAAAGTGAATAAATTGTAATAAATAAAAAAAGGGAAATCATGCTGATTTTTCAAATAGTTTAAAATTTGCCTACCTTTAAGAATTTTTGATTACATTAATGCTCCTTATACTTTATGCTTCTTTTCTCTGTTCACTCATTTTTTCAATGACAATGAATTAATGTTATAACTTGTGTGTCAACACATTAGGACAAACTTCTTTGAGGAGGCCATCAATGTACTGTTAGGCCAATGTTGTGTTGTTTTTTAAGGTCCAATAATATTGTACAAGAATTTAGCAAATTCTGTCAAAGACATTGAAGAACATGAATAGGAGTTTTTAATTGCTTATTTTGTATAGTTTTTATTTAATTTTAAAATCATTCTTTTCAGTTTTTGAGATTATAATATGATTACATGGTTTGCCCCCTCTGTTTCCTCTCTCCAAACCCAGCCATATACCCTTACTTATTCTTTTGCAAATTTATGGCCCCTTTTTATTAGTTGTTGTAATATTCTTATATGTATATCAGAATATACGTTTATATATTCCTAAATACATAAATATCATTTGTCCAGTCTGTATAATGTTACTTGTATATATGTTTTCAGAGATGACCATTTGGTATTGCATGGCCATTTGGTACTAGTGGGGGAAGAATATTTCTCACACTCTTTTGCTTGTTTATTTTATTTTTCTTTTTTTAATTTTAAAATTTTTTACACAATATAGTGTAATCATGGTTTTCATTTTCCCTACTCTTCTCAAGTCTTCCCTATCTAATGATCCACCAACTCCAAGTCACCTTTCTTGCTTGCTGGCTTGCTTGCATGGTCCTTGGTTGGAGTATCAGTCTCTGCAGAAATCTCTGGGCTATGGCTTTTGGCTCTGTTGCTCTCCTTGTGAAGCTCCTGTACCCTCCAGATCTTTCTATCTCCCTCTTCTTCCATAAGGATTCCAGCACTCTGCCCAAAGTTTGGCTATGAGTCTCAGTATCTCCTTCGATGCCTGGTGGTCTGAGTCTTTCAGATGTCGTCTGTGGAAGGCTCCTGTCTTGTTCCCTGCCTTCTCCTACTTCCGATGTCTATCCTGTGTCTTTTTGCTTCTGGATTATCTCACTCAGGATGATCTTTTCTAGTTCCCACCATTTGCCTGCAAATTTCATGGTTACCTTGTTTTTAATTGCTAAGTAGTATTACCATTGTGTAAATGTACCACAATTTCTGTATCCATTTTTTCAGTTGAGAGACATCTAGGTTGATTCCAGATTTTCACCATTATGAATAAAGCTGTTATGAATGTAGTTGGGCAAATGTTCGTGTTGTATGGTTTAGTATCTTTCAGATATATACCCAGGAGTGGTATATACCAGGAGATATATAACAGGAGTGGTATAGCTGGATCTTGAAGAAGCACTATTCTTTATTTTCTGAGAAAGCACTAGATTGATTTCCACACTGGTTGTACAAGTTTGCCCTCCCACCAGCAAATGGAGGTGAGTTCCCCTTTCTCATCATCCTCTACAGCATGTGTTATCACTTGGGTTTTTGATCCCAGAAGCTATATGAAAACACTAGTGCCAGAAATGTGATATTATATATATATCACGGAGAGGACCTAGACCCCCTGTTGAAAAGAAGCCCAGAGGCTGCTCAGTTTCCAAGTGGGTTTTCTAGTAAGGGGTACAGGGGCTGTCTCTGACATGAATTCAGGGGCTGGCTCTTTGATCACCTCCCCCTGGGGGGTGCAGCCTTGCCAGGCCATAGAGGAAGATGATGCAGCCAGCCTTGATGAGACCTGATAGGATAGGGTCAGATAGAAGGGGAGGAGGTCCTCCCCTATCAGGGGACTAGAGAAAGGGCATAGGGGGGAGAAGAAGAAGGGTGGGTGGGGCTGGGAAGAGACAAGGAAGGGGGCTGCAACAGGGATACAAAATGAATAAATTATAATAAATAAATATAGAAATAAATTAAATTTAAAAAGAACAACCAACAAAGTTCTTTATATTTTACAATAATTAGTTTTCTATTCAGAATTTTATTCATACTTTAAATTTTTTTAAATTATGATTATAATATAATCACATTTCTCTTTCCTTTTCCGCCTCCAAAACCTTTGATATACCCTTTCCACTCTCATTAAAATTCAGTCTCTTTTTCAGTAATTGTTAGTTTGTGCATGTGTGTGTATGCATGTGTGTGTGTGTGTGTGTGTGTGTGTGTTTGCATGGGTATGTGTTCCAAAATATAACTTGTTCAATCCATGGGATGTTATTTGTATATATGTTTTCAGAGCTAACCCTTTGGCACAGAATTTTCAGCCACACTGAAAAGTGTGGTCAAGTCTGTGATCTTAGCTACTTTGGAAAACGAGGTGCAAGAAATAATGACTCAGGCTAGCCTGGGCTTCAGAAAGCAAGTACAAGAGTGAGTTAGTGAGAGAGAACATGGCATTGAGAAGGATTCTATGGGGTCAATGGAGAATAATAAAGGATTGAAATTTTTAATTAAATTTTATTGAATGTTTGCAATGGCATCTCTTTACATTAACACATTTTCTTTTCCATTTGCTTTTGTGAAAAACTATTTTGTGAACCAAGACTTTGAAGGCTTGTTTTACCTGCTGGTTCCTCAAGGTATAAATAAAAGGGTTCAACATAGGAGCAATGGAAGTGCTGAGAACAGCTACTGTTTTGGTCAGTGATGTCCTTTCTTCTGCAGAAGGCCTCACATAGATAAATATGCAGCTTCCATAAGTTATGGAGATGACAAGCATGTGAGAGGAACAGGTAGAGAAAGCCTTCTTCATCAGGCTGGTGGATGGAATTCTTAAAATAGTCCTAATAATGTACATGTAAGATAAAATCACCAATGCCAAAGTGAACAATAGAGTGACCAGAGCAACATAGAAACCAATCACCTCTAGGAGCCAAGTATCTGAACAAGACAGTTGTAAGAGGGGAAAATAGTCACAGAAAAAGTGATCGATGATATTAGAGGCACAGAAATCTAACTTTAAGACCAGCATAAATGGTGGGAAGACTGTCAGAAATCCTGCCAGCCATGAGGTGAGGGCAAGAAGGGTGCAAACTTTCTGGCTCATGATGACAGTGTAGTGCAGCGGCTTGCAGATGGCGACATAGCGGTCATAGGACATGGCAGTTAGAAGAAAGAACTCAGACACTCCCATGGAGATGAAGAAAAATAGTTGAGCCAAACAGTTGTTATAGGAAATGGTCTTGACTTGAGTAATTATTGACCCCAAATATCTGGGGACAGAAACACTTGTGAACATGATTTCTACGAAAGAGAAATTCCTGAGGAAAAAATACATAGGAGTCTTTAAGTGAGAGTCTAGCAAAGTGAGGATGATGATGGTTAGGTTTCCAGTGATGCTTAATATGTAAGTTATTAATAAAAAGATGAAAATTACTACCTGAAGCTCTCTGTTGTCTGTTATTCCCAAAAGCACAAACTCTGTAGTTATAGTATGGTTTTTCATACTGAATTTCTCTTTCAATAAAATATGTTAATACAAAAGATATCAAAGAATTCATTGAATGGGGTGGAATTGAAATTTTTATATATTGATATTACCATCTCCAACAAAATGATGAAATGACTTCCTTTCCCTGTAAGAATTACAACATTTGTATTTGACATTTTTCATCTCACATTTTGATAATCAGTATTGTCTTTTTTATAAATACATATATTTAAATTTATCATCAAAGCATGCAGATCAAAATCAGTATTTGTTCATTATTATTAAACTGGAGACCATATGCACATACTATATTGAAAAGGAAAATATACTTATAGATCTATGTTTAAAACTCCCTTATTAATGTTTTTTATACGAATCCTCTGCTCACAGTCAAAATTTCTATACTTGTAAGACAACTTTGAAATTTAGACTGCCTCCATAGTAATTATTTACTTTATCTGTAATTTGAATGCTGTCATGAAATATATTCTTGGAAAGCACATATATTATATTCCGATTTCTGAAACTGTATGCTTGTAGAGCTTAAATATCTAATATCTGAAGGCAATTCTGATGCCATTTGAAGCTTACAGAATTTGCTGATAGAATTCAATGAACAAATTTCCTTTGCACAGTATTGTAAAAATTTTCATTCTTACAAAATCCTTTTTTATATGTAACCACAAATATCTGTGCTTGCAACCACCAGAGAGATGCTGGGCTATTATAATGCTGGTTATAAGTGCAACTAAAATAGAGTTGGAAGATAGAAACATAATAATATTTAATAAATGATGCATTCATATGATTTCATGTGATAGTTTAGTTAAAATTAATTTTTTAATATTTACCTTATGTTTTTACCCTTACTTTTTTGAGAACAAAAGAAAACTCATAAGGAACTGTTTTCTTGTTTGCAAAAATATGGCATTGCTTCCCTCCTTGAGGACTATTCAGAAAAAATAAAAATGTTAGATTTACTTTATTGAAATTATAAGATATAAGCTATCTTATAATAAGACTCTATCTCTCCTGTTTAATACTAATAACTAGAAAACAACATATTGTCTGTGGTAGAAGTTCTCAAATACTATGTGGTGCTGCTACTTTTCTATAACAGGAACTGGACTTCTTGGCAAGAGGTAATTATTAAAAATGATAATGGGCATTTCTCCTCTTCAGTGTAACATTTCTGAAATCAGTATTGTCATTCTTTACAACATACATATATTTGTCATAAATTTATCATCCAACATGTAGGTCAAAGGCCAACTTGTTATTATCATTTGAGAAATTGTTGAACTATATTAAATGTGCAATGACTAAGAATAAATGTTAAAATAATAATTTGAGCTCTCCAATTCTTTTAACCTGATAAAGTTTTAAATAACAGACATTATTTAAAACACAGAGCATTCTTTTCTTATACTTTATAACTACACATTAAAAATGTGTAATACCTATTATAAATGTAATCTTAAATTTTTCAACCCAACATGGTATCAAAGCAGATGCTGAGACTCATAGCTAAACTTTGGGCAGAGTTGAGGGAATCTTATGAAAGAAGGGGAAGATAGACATGGAGGAGACAGGGGTTCTACAAGGAGAGCAACAGAAGCAAAGAACCTGGGCAAAGGGGTCTTTTCTGAGATTGATACTCCAACCAATGCATGGAGATAACCTAGAACCCCTGCACAGATGTAGTTCATGACAGCTCAGTCTCCAAGTGGGTTCTCTAGTAAGGGGAACAGAGGCTGTATCTGACATGAGCTCAGTGGCTGGCTCACTGACCTCTCCCTGAGAGGGAAGCATCCTTACCAGGCCACAGAGGAGGACATTGCAGCCATTCCTGAGGAGACCTGATAGGTTAGGGTCAGAGGGAAGGGGAGGAGGACCTCCCCAATCAGTGGACTTGGGGAGGGACATGGGAGGAGAAGAGGGAGGGAAGGTGGGATTGGGAGGGAATGAAGGACGGGGCTACAGCTGGGATACAAAGTGAATCAAATGTAATTAATAAAAATTAAATCAATTTTTTCAAAAATATGAAATATATGATATTCTTTAGATATCATATTTTTAGCATTTAGTTAACCTTGCATTTATATATTATATATATCATGCAGAAAGAGTTGAGTAGTCTCACTTAGAAGTAAAATAAACTGCTTTCTCTATATATATACATATATATGTTGGGAGGGTCTCACTATGTAGCTCTGGATGGCCTGTAACTCACTATGTAGACCAGACTGGCTTTGAACTCATGGAGATCTGACTGCCTCTCTCTATAATTCTATAATCCCTCCATATGAGCATAAATATGGCTAGGAAATGACCGTAAAATCTTCTGTCTTAAATCACAATAATTCTTTAATCTCTAGGAAATAGTGGGCGATAAAACGTTGTAAAGTTCTCTGCAAAAGGTATAGAATTAATGTTAAATAAGGCTAAGACATTTTACCTTCTGTTCTCACTATAAATCCCCGAGACTGGCTTGGAGAAAGGAAGCAGGCAGAAGTTAATTCAGGAGATGTAACGTGGTCATGAGATGCCGGTTTGTAAACCACAGCAATATAGGAAGATGAACACACTGAGAACTGATGAGCTGATGTGTTCCCTTCAGCCAAACTTAATTTTCCTAATAAACAAATGGACTCTACACTTGGGAGATAATTTATTCTCAATTGTTTTGGGATTGGTTAAATCTGCGTGAAGTATTCTGCAAAAATGCTTTGCTGAGAGTAGCCTATCTATTTTATTCATCTGTACATCTTTTTTTAATTCTTTATTAATTACACTTTATTCACTTTCTATCCCCCCTGTGGTTCCCTCCCTCCTCCTGTCCCAATCCCTCCCTTCCTCCACCCTCTGCATGCATGGCCCTCCCCAAGTCCATTGATAGGGGAGGTCTTCTTTTCCTTCCTTCTGATCCTAGTCAATTAGGTCTCATCAGGAGTGGCTACATTGTCTTCTTCTGTGGCCTGGTAATGCTGCTTCCCCCTCAGGGGGGAGGTAATTAAAGAGCAGGCCAATCAGTTCATGTCAGAGATGGTCCCTGTTCCTATTACAATGGAACCCACTTGGATATTGAACTGCTGTGGGCTACATCTGTGCAGGGGTCTTAGGTTTTCTCCATGCATAGTCCTTGGTTGGAGTATCAGTCTCAGGAACGACCCCTGTGCTCAGATTTTTTTGGTTCTGTTGCTCTCCTTGTGGAGTTCCTGTCCTCTCCAGATCTTACTGTTTCTTACTTCTTTCATAAGATTCCATGAACTCTGCCCAAAGGTTGCCCATGAGTCTCCCCATCTGCATTGATAGTCTGCAGAGCAGAGTCTTTCAGAGGTCCTCTGTGTCAGGCTCCTGACTTGTTCCCTCTTTTCTCTTTCTTTTGATGTCCATCCTCTTTGCATTTCTGGATAGGAATTGAGCATTTTAACAAAAGTCCTCCCTGTTGATTAGTTTCTTTAGGTGTACAGATTTTAGCAGGTTTATCCTATATTTTATATTTATATGAATGAGTATATACTGTGTGCATCTTTCTGCTTCTGGGATAGCTCACTCAGGATGATCTTTTCCAGATCCCACTATTTACCTGCAAATTTCATGATTTCCTTGTTTTTTACTGCTGAATAATACTCCGTTGTGTAGATATACCACAATTTCTGCATCCATTCCTCCACTGAGGGACATCTATACTGTTTCCAGCTTTTGGCTATTACAAATAAAGCTGCTACAAACATGGTTGAGCAAATGTCCTTATTGTGTACTTGAGACTCTTTGGGGTATATGCCTAGGAGTGGTATAGCTGCATCTTGAGGAAGCGCTATTCCTTGTTGTCTGAGAAAGCGCCAGATTGCTTTCCAGAGTGGTTGTACAAGTTTACATTCCCACCAGCAGTGGAGGAGGCTTCTAAACCGCTTAGAAGGAAAAAGTGGGGAAGAGTCTTGAACTCATTGGCACAGGAGACAACTTCCTGAACAGAACACCAACAGCACAGACTCTAAGAGCAACAATCAATAAATGGGACCTCATGAAACTGAAAAGGACACTGTTGTCAGAACAAAACGACAGCCTACAGATTGGGAAAGGATCTTCCCCAACCCTATATATGACAGAGGACTAATGCCCAGTATATATAAAGAACTAAAGAAGTTAAAAAGCAACAAATCAAGTAATCCAATTAAAAAATGGGGAACAGAGCTAAACAGAGAATTCTCAATAGAGGAACATCGAATGGCAGAGAAACACTTAAAGAAATGCTCAACATCATTAGCCATCAGGGAAGTGCAAATCAAAACAACCCTAAGATTTCACCTTACACCCATCAGAATGGCTAAGATTGAAAACTCAAGTGATAACACATGCTGGAGAGGTTGTGGAGAAAGGGGAATCATCTGTGTATCTTAAGGGCACAGAGAATATGAACAGTTAATGAAAGCATTTTACCATCTTTTCAGGTCAGCAAACTTGATTTGCTTCTGGTGAGAGTGCAGCATGTTGCATCCATTATCGAAATCAATATGAATATATCTCAAAACACTAAAATTAAACCAGCACATGACCCAGACCATACAATTCCTGGACAATGCCCCCGGTACTCTAAATCCTACAAAGAAGTACTTGAACATTCGTGTTATTTTTGCTCAACTCACAACACCAAGGAAATAAAACCAGCTTAGTTGTCCATCAACAGATGAATGTATCATACAGTCATGTAATGGAATTTAATTTAACCATAAATAAAAATTAAATAGTGAATTTTTTAAAAAATAAATTGATTTGCAAATTATTATATTGAATAAAGTATCTCAGGCTTGGGGAAAAAGCAAAAACTGAATGCTCTCAGGTATGTGCTATTTTAATTTTTATATATGCGCCCAATATATCGGTAGGTCTTCATATGTGGCTGTGAATGTGAATCTAGGCCAAGGAACTAGGAAGTTTACTACGAGAGGCTAAACAAGAAGTTTTAAAGACACAAAAGATAAAAGTAGAGTATATAAGACAAAAAAAGAAAGAGGCTAAAAAAGGGAAAA